AAAAATTGAAGTAACCTTTACGTGACCTTCAAATAAGTCTTCAAGGTCAACCAATGGTACCATCTTATGGCCCCCTCGAAATCAAACAACTTTTGTCTGAAACACTTTTTTCTCCCGGACTTGGTTTTCGAGATATTCAATTGAATGGATTAAAATGGCCCATTCTGCGTGCGTGCGTGCGTTCGTGCGTGCGTCCGTAAGTGCGTATTTTTTTTTTTTTTTTTTATTTCAATTTACTTCAATTCTCACCTTTACATGCAGAAGAAATCCTTCTTCAGATTCTTTTCTAGAGGGTCTCCAATTATGTATTTTCTTGTTTCTTATTGTATTTACAGGAAACAAATAAGGCATCAAAAGTAAAGTTGTAATTTTTACACCATCTAATAAAATATAAATATTATATAAAATATATCAGTAATAGTAATATTATACAATAGTAAAGATAATTGTAAAAGAAAAATATAAAATATCTGACCTGGTGTAAAGACATCATCAAGACGATTCTTCAGTTTAGGTGTCACCTTATTAATTACAAAGTTTGATATTTTTTGCCAAGCAATATACAATTTTAAATTACGATTTGGATGTAATGTTTTAAAATCTTTCTCCAACTATAAATTATATAAAAACAAACATTGAATATGTACACATGCACGCTTATGTAATATACATATATATATATATTTATATATTTAATTACAACATTAATTATTAATAATGAATATACATATATCCACAAATGTTCAAAATTATCAATAAAAAATATTTTAAGAAAAAAATATTTATGGAAAAAGATAAAAAAAGATAAGTTTATGTTTTCAGCAAATTTAAATTATATATACAGAATGTTCTATTTTAATCTATGCACTAAAATATCACAGAATCTATAAATTTTAGACAAAAATGTTTTAGACAAAAATATGATTTCAAGGGGGACATAAGATGGTGCTATCAGTTTGACCTTGAAGAGTAACTTGAAGGTCACTTAAAAGTTACCTCCAATTTTTTAAATAGGACACTATATATTTTTACACATTCTTGTAGCTTATCTCGAGAGCTTTCCAAAACACTATGATAAAGTAGTTTTTCATTCAGATGTAACGGATCACCCTTTCCCGACGCCACGGATCGGCTCGTCGGTGCCAGGATTCGGGAAGAGGGGAGACTCAGATTCGCAAGGACCACACGGTTGTTCTGGTAAAAAACAGAGTTTATTCGAGTCACTTTTCAGGGGTAGACTTGCTATTTAGTCCACAGGTACAGAGAATCTTAAGACGGACGAAACGCGACCAGATTATTCGGACGCGAGCACGACTTATAGCTAGAATTTACAAGGAGAGGTACGACGTACGAAATATATACAACGCGGACGCGGATACGGGCGCCCTAAAAAGGGCGAGCTCCGTAGAGCGCAGGTGATTCGCGGACAGGACCCGGTGACCGAGAACACTCGGCCTACGCTACGAGAACGCTCGTCGGCCGGGATAGTTTACGGACAGGACCCGGTGACCGAAAACACTCGGCCTACGCGACGAGAACGCTCGTCGGCCGGGACGGCTTACGGACAGGACCCGGTGACCGAGAACACTCGGCCTACACGACGAGAACGCTCGTCGGCCGGGATAGTTTGGAGTTTAGGGTTCGAGGAGTGATCTCTGAGAACGCTCGAGAGACCGAAGCAGGACTGGGTCAGAAGCCTCGGCTGAGCCGCTTTTTATTCCCGCCAGTCGACCCCCTCCAAGCTAGTCTTGGAGTGGGGTGGCTGGTCGGGTGGGGCGAAAAGGCGAGTTTCCATCGCGTTTATTATATGGTGGCCCCGAAAGGGGCCGTTTGTATGAGCGTGGTCGGCCCTGTGCATGCGCGGCGTTTAGTGACGACCAATCGAGTCATCACAAAGAACTTTTTGAGTTATTAAAATTTGAATGTTCCAATATTTTGACATAAATTACAAAATATCTTGAAAAATATTTATTTTTTGATCTTACCTTAATTCTTTTTTGCACAGAATAATAAGACAAATCAATCGATGTAAAGAAAACACAATTGTTAAAAAAAAATTTGTAATTACTTATTTTTTTTTTTATAATTGTGTTTTCTTTACACTGATTGATTTGTCTTATTATTCTGTGCAAAAAAATATTAAGATAGAATGATTAAAAAAATGAATATTTTACAAGAATTTTGTAATTTATGTCAAAATAACTAATTTATGTCAAAATAACTAAAAAATGGAACTTTCAAACTTTAATAACTCAAAGTTTTCAATTAAAAAATATTATATCTTAGTGTTTTGGAAAGCTCTTGAAGTAAGCTACAAGAATGTGTAAAAATATATTAGGGTGTGCCATTTAAAAAATTGAAGGTGACCTTTAAGTGACCTTCAAGTAACTCTTCAAGATCAAGCTGATAGCACCATCTTATGCCCCCCTTAAAACCATACAACTTTTGTCTGAAATTTTTTTCAATTGTCTTTCTCCACTTATTTCAATGTGCCAATTAAAATAAAACACTTTGTGTATATATATATGTAAAGAAAAGCGCTAAGTTATATCTTTCGCCCCAGCAAAAATAGTTTTATAATAATAAAAAATATTATCTTCTCAAAAATTATGTTTGTAGGAAAAATAATTCTTTGCAAAAACTAATCACCATCAAAAATATTTTCTCAAAAATTATATTTATAAATTATATTTTATTTTTGTTAATAATACTAGAAAAAAATTAAAATATTAGCATCAAAAAGTAGTGAAATCAAAAAATTGCGCTAAATAATTATATTAATAATACGAAAAAAAAGGTTAAAATATTAGCATCAAAAAGTAGTGAAATCAAAAAGTTGCACTAAGTAAGTGACAACTATATAATATTTAGATAAATTTCCTATAATGATACAAATGTATAATTATTGCTTTATATTAAAACGTTTATAATATATATAATAACAAAATAAATTCAGTAAAATATATATATATATATATATCTTTAAATTTAAATAACATGAATAATTATGTAATTAATTTAAACTGAAATGTATATACATTGTAAAGTTATTATATATTTTTATAAAATATTTAGATAAATAGATATATACAAATAAAATAAATTATTTATCTATAATTGTTCGCGCACGAGCAAACCGTATCGACATGTTCGACGATTCTGTTGAAAAAAAAAAAAAAGGTTTTGTTTTGTTTCTTCCTAATATAGGCACAAGTTAAATCTTGTATACGTACGAGCAAATAATACTAAGCACGACCCCGTCGCGATCACGGTTGACACTCGTGCGAGTCACCTGCTCCGTACTACGAACGGGCCTGATCGGAGTGTGATCGGGCCGAGCGCCACCGAGCGAATTTTCAATATTTTTCAAACAATCGGCGAAGCTCGAACAGTGAGGTCGCAGGCGAGTGCGTTCGAGCAACTCAATCCCGATTATACTCTTGATCTTGCTCCGGGTCTTCGATTATATCTGTTTATCTATTGAGTACAAAGTTTATTGTTTAAAATTAAACCGAGTGTGTTAATCAACAAAGAACTATTAACTTCATTCTCGGCCTTGCAAGCCACTGACTTTACTCCTCCTTATCGGCGCGAAAGCGTCGAGTACCAATCGACCTACGCTCTCCTTTTTCTATTCTTGGTCCTTCGAGTTATCACCGCCTTTCCCTGTCGCTGAGAAGCGATAACTCCTCCGTCGACCATCAAGGTCAACACCGATACGGTGTGTCTAAATTATCGTGTGCGACAAAGGGTGCGAACATAAAGTTTTGGTCCTTCGAGCCGGATTAAGGAGCAGAGTGTCAGTGATTGAGACTGAATTATTAAACAATCAAGATGAGCGATCCATTAATTCTACAGCAAACGCTCTTTCACACCATTTCTCGGGCATTAGAGAATTTCAAGAAGATCGGAAGAAACAATTATACGCCCGCAACGATTCGCTCTCGAATGACTTCTCTCAAGGAAACCTGGATGCAGTGCCGTCAAACTCATGCAGCGATTCTCCAAGCGTACGCTGAAGCAAAGAGGGAGAAGATGGAGTATTTTCAAGCCAACAAGATGGAGAGTCATGAGGATCTCTATCAAGCAGCGATAGACTATATGACGAACTGCCTCGAGGAATCAGAGCCGACTGTGAGTCCGAACCAATCTATCAATTATTCAACGAATCATGCGGATTCTGCGGCGCTTTCGTTACAGCATCTCCCAGCCATTCAATTACCATCCTTTAACGGGAGCTTCGACGAATGGGAGAGCTTTTGCGATCGCTTCACGGCTTTAATTATAAATAATAAGGAGCTCTCAGATTTTAGTCGGATGCACTTTCTCGTTTCAAATCTCACCGGATGTGCTCACAACGCGATAGCCAGTTTATCAGTGACCGCGGATAATTTCAACATTGCGTGGACAGCGTTAAGGGCGCGCTTCGAAAATAAGCGCCGATTAATCGAGATGCATGTAGCTACCTTGTTCTCGTTACCAACCTTGTTACGCGAATCATCGTCCGAATTGTATGCGTTGCGCAATAAAGTGGAAAAAGCTATCGCGTCGTTAAAGCGATTAAATCGATCCTCTACCGATATTCTCGATGACATCCTCGTTCACTGCATATCTCAAAGGCTTGACCAAGCCACACGACGCGCTTGGAAACTAAAGTTTAACGAAGCATCTCCTCCCGCGACGTACGACGAATTACTGACATTTTTATCATCGCGCGCGAGTGCACTTGAGGAACTCAAACCGATCAAAGGGTCAAGTTCAAGTCGCGAAAATAAAGTAGCCAGTGCTAATGCGTCGGTAGCGGCGACTCCTATGTGCGGGCTGTGTAAAAACCAGCATTTCCTAAATCATTGTCCAAAATTCTCGACAAAAGTGTGAGTCAACGTCGAGAGTATGTAAAACAAAACAAACTTTGTTTTAATTGTCTACGCAAAAATCATTCCGTGGCAGAACGCCGCAGTAAATTCGCTTGCCGTACTTGTCAAAAGAAACATCATACAATGTTACATGTCGACTCACACTCCTCGTCGAATACGAATCAAGCGACAACTTCGAGCGAAAATTCAGTGCAGACCAGCGAAAAATCACAAGTCATTTCTCTTTCGGTGGTTTCGAGCGACGCGTCGCCATTACCTGTTCTTCTCGCGACGGCGAAAATCAAGATAAGCTCGCCGACGGGACGCACTCAAACCGTCAGAGCTCTGTTGGATCAGGGTTCGGAAGTATCTTTTATTACAGAAAGACTCGCTCAATGCCTGAGATTGCGACGCATTCGGACAATGACGTCGATCTCAGCTGTTGGGGGTGTTCACGCTGGCATGTGCCGACATGCAGCTAACATCCAACTTACTTCCCGCATAAAATCGGGGCCCGTATTCAGCACTCAAGCTTTTGTTATGCGCTCTTTAACGAAATACACTCCACGACGGGCACAATTCAGTAAGTCATGGGAGCATTTACGAAATCTCAATCTTGCAGATGACAATCCAACGGGATCCGATCCTATTGAGGTACTCATAGGGGCCGATCTATATAGTAGAGTAATTCGAAACGGCGTTCGCAAAGGATCGATCGGACAGCCTATCGCGCAGAATTCTTATTTCGGCTGGGTCCTATCGGGAACTACTACTCAAAGTTCAAGATCTAGCTCAATCAAGGTAATGCATTGTTCTCTTGAACGAGATATTCAACGATTCTGGGAAGTCGAGGAACTTCCTCAGAAAATTCAGCTTTTTCCAGACGACGAGCGCTGTGAGAAACACTTTCTTGAAAATCATTCTCGCGATAAAACCGGACGATATATAGTACGGCTCCCATTCAAACAAGGTCCACCGATCAATATCGGTGATTCACATTCAATTGTATCAAGTATGCTAACCTCTTTAAATCGACGATTAGATCGAAATCTCGATTTAAAGAAGGAATACAATTCATTCCTATTAGAGTATGAAGAACTCGGACATATGGAAAAGGTTTCTGTTTCTTCGAAATCAAATTCTGTACCACAAACCGTTTATATTCCGCACCATGCGGTTGTGCGCAATTCAAGTTCCACGACACGTCTTAGAGTCGTTTTCAATGCATCAAGCTTAACGTCAAACGGAAGCTCCCTTAACACTCATCTGTTGCAAGGTCCTAAGCTTCAAACGAATATATTCGATATAATCCTTTGCTGGCGACAGTATCAATATGTCTATACGGCAGACATTGCCAAGATGTACAGACAGATCGTGGTCGATCCACGTGATCAAGATTACCAACGAATCTTATGGAACACTGAAGGCTCGAAAATACCACAAGCATTTCGATTAAAAACAGTCACTTACGGTACAGCATCAGCTCCATTTCTTGCACTTAGAGTGCTAAAACAACTTCTGCATGACGAAGGAGAATCTTTTCCATTGGCCTCTTCCATTCTAAGAGACCATATTTATGTCGACGATGTTCTTTTTGGAGCCGAAGATATTCTTTTGTTGCGTCAAACACGCGATCAAGTTTGTGCCTTGTTGCAACGCGGAGGATTTCAGCTAAGGAAATGGACGAGTAATAAGTCAGAGTTGCTTACGGACATTTCCTCCCAGAATCACGGCTCGCTTGCAATAAATTGCTGAATGCTAACGAAAATTTCAATGTGCTCGGTATCTCGTGGAACCCCGCTACCGACAATTTTCAATTTCAAGTATCTCTCTCGGCAATTCCGCCTAAAACAAAACGCACTATTTTATCTACGATTGCCAAGCTTTTTGATCCGATCGGATGGGCTACCCCAGTTACGATTACCGCGAAAATCTTTATGCAAAAGTTATGGCGTTTCAATCTCGATTGGGACACAAATATTTCAAACCAAAGCTTAAAGGAATGGGAAGAAATTTACATAACACTAGCTTCACTTGACAACGTAAAAATTGCTCGATGGATAAATCGCGGGTCAGACACAGAACAATGCGAACTTCACGGGTTTGCCGATGCTTCGTCCGTCGCATATGCCGCCGCGGTTTATATTCGAGTACGATCGATCTCGGGAAAAATCACAACTACGTTACTCGCAAGTAAAGCAAAAGTCGCTCCTATCAAGCCGATGACGATACCGAGACTTGAATTGTCAGCAGTAGTTTTACTCGCGCGACTTTTAGAATCAATTCAAGTCGCGCTGAACTTACAGCACATCGAGAGTCACTGCTGGACAGATTCAACAGTAGTATTATCTTGGTTAAACCAGCACCCTTCTAAATGGAAGACATTTGTGTCTCATCGCGTAGCGTTAGTACAAACGAAGCTACCAAATACGCAATGGCATCACGTGCCATCGGAGGAGAATCCAGCTGACTGCGCCTCGCGCGGACTCCTACAAACAGAACTCTCGTCATACACTCTTTGGTGGAGCGGTCCACAGTGGCTAAAAATGCCATCTTCAGCATGGCCAGTCTTTGATTTCTCGCTACAGGACGCGACCATAGTAGAAGCTAAATCCGTTACAGTTTAATTGACTCAAATTAACGAGTCGTGGGATTTAGCAAGCAAATATTCCAGGTGGCGAAAACTCGTTCGAGTTACGGCGTATATTTTTCGATTCCTCGACAGTTGTCGCATAAGCGCGAAACGAGAAAATAACACGCAGACAAGTCCTTTCGCCGTCTCAGCAAACGAATTCGAAAGGGCAAGTTTGTTTTGGCTAAAGACGATTCAAAAGGACATGTTTTCGAGCGATCTGAAAGCGCTTCGACAACATCAACAACTCTCTTCTCGAAGCTCGATACGATTATACGATCCGTTCATTGACGAAAAGGGATTGATCCGGGTTGGTGGACGGCTGCAGAATTCAAATCTTCCATACAAAACAAAACATCCTATCCTTCTCACATCTCATCCACTTGTCACGCTGTTGATTCGTGACGCTCATGTTCGATCTCTCCACGCAGGATATCAATTGACTCTTTCCATTCTAAAGCAAGAATACCTAATATTGCGAGCTAGAACACTAGTCAAAGCAGTCATATATCGATGCGTGACATGCGCTCGTGAACGAGCTTCACGCCCCACTCAACTCATGGGCCAACTGCCACGCGCTCGCGTGACAGTCTCATCACGAGCATTTCAGCATTGCGGAGTAGATTTTGCGGGACCCACTGACACTCGAGCTTCATCCGGTCGCGGGATCAAATCTATCAAGACATACATCGCAGTATTCATATGCTTGGCTACTCGAGCAATTCACCTTGAGTTGGTAGGAGGATATTCAACTCATGACTTCTTAAATGCTTACACGAGGTTTTGTGCCTGTCGAGGATTGCTGTCTGACATGTATTCAGACAATGGAACGAACTTTATCGGGGCAGACCAAGAATTAGCAAGGGCTTACAATGACGCATTGAGAGATCCAGATTTTTTCAATCAAACAGCATCAGACAAAGTTTCCTGGCATTTTATGCCCCCACATGCTCCTCACTTCGGAGGGCTTTGGGAGGAAGGAGTACGCAGCGTAAAATATCACTTAAGGCGACTCCTCGGTGCGCATAAATTAACTTTCGAAGAGCTTACCACTCTTCTAAGTAAGATCGAAGCATGCCTAAATTCTCGACCTCTCGGACCTCTCACTGCGTCTATCGATGATTACGAGTCATTGACTCCGGGGCACTTTCTCATCGGGACCGCTCTAACTACGTATCCCGAACCCTCTGTTTTACATTTAACTGAAAATCGCCTGTCACGATGGCAGCTTGTACGACAACTTGTCGAACGGTTCTGGAAAATTTGGCAAGCCGATTATATAAATACACTACAACAAAGGAGCAAGTGGCGAACGAAACAACCTTCGGTTAAAATTGGAACCATGGTATTATTGAGAAATGCCACATTACCGCCATGCAAATGGCAACTAGGAAGAGTAATCCAGTGTTTTCCGGGCTCTGACGGTTTGACTCGCGTCGTTTTAGTGAAGACAGCGACTTCCGAATATAAGCGTCCTATCGTACAATTATGCATCCTTTCGATTGATATCGAGACGCAATCCGACGACGAGTCGGGCAAACCTCTATAGAATCAGTTTAATATCAATCTTAATGTAATAATTCAATAAGCTTAAGGATAAATGTATCATTCATACGTTATTCTCTAGTTATAAGCGATATATCATGTAAATAATTTTCACTTTATTCAATACCGTCAATAAGTTTAGTAAGGATCAAATCTGCATTGAAAACAATAGCGAATGGCGGGCGGCGCCAAGCAAGTAATACAAGGAGAATACGTTCTCCATCATCGTACAAGCGAGACGAATTGTCAATCCTTCATTTAATTCGAAACTATAGTTTCGAGGCGGGCGGTATGTTCGCGCACAAGCAAACCGTATCGACATGTTCGACGATTCTGTTGAAAAAAAAAAAAAAAAAGGTTTTGTTTCTTCCTAATATAGGCACAAGTTAAATCTTGTATACGTACGAGCAAATAATACTAAGCACGACCCCGTCGCGATCACGGTTGACACTCGTGCGAGTCACCTGCTCCGTACTACGAACGGGCCTGATCGGAGTGTGATCGGGCCGAGCGCCACCGAGCGAATTTTCAATATTTTTCAAACAATCGGCGAAGCTCGAACAGTGAGGTCGCAGGCGAGTGCGTTCGAGCAACTCAATCCCGATTATACTCTTGATCTTGCTCCGGGTCTTCGATTATATCTGTTTATCTATTGAGTACAAAGTTTATTGTTTAAAATTAAACCGAGTGTGTTAATCAACAAAGAACTATTAACTTCATTCTCGGCCTTGCAAGTCACTGACTTTACTCCTCCTTATCGGCGCGAAAGCGTCGAGTACCAATCGACCTACGCTCTCCTTTTTCTATTCTTGGTCCTTCGAGTTATCACCGCCTTTCCCTGTCGCTGAGAAACGATAACTCCTCCGTCGACCATCAAGGTCAACACCGATACGGTGTGTCTAAATTATCGTGTGCGACAAAGGGTGCGAACAATAATTAATTATTTAATTCAAATATATTTAAACGCGCATATTCAAAAAAGGTAATATAAGGCACAAAAAATTAAATTTAGAAAATTATAAAATTTAAAGTTAAATAAAAATTTTTAATAAGAATATTTTTAAGTCAGCTCTCCAATTTTTATCTCGACTAAAGAGCCAAACGCGATGTTATTGCGACAAATTAAGATAAGAAAATTTGGAAACTAAAGAATTTGAATCCTATGGTTGGGATCTCAGAAATTCCCCTTGTTCCTTCTCTTAACATTCCCTGTAAAGAAATAGACGAGAAAAATATTGGTCCGAAAGTCGGCTGAATCGGGAATCGAACCCGAGATCTTCCGCTTGCCGGGCGACTGCTCTTCTAACTGAGCTATTCAGACATTTGTTTGGCTCTTTAGTTGAGATGAATATTGTGGTTTAAAAATTTTTAATTTAAATTAAAAAATAAAAATAAAAAAAATGTGATGTATAAAAAATACTTAGCGCTGTTTTTGTATTGTTATTTTAACACATTAGTAAATAAAATAAAATATAAATCAAAGTATAGACTAATTTTTTTACTGCAATACGCTTCAACAGAAATCTATAAACATATTACATGGCTCGATATTCGAATGACATGTGGCTAGCTGAACATATCGATATACACATATAAAATATATGTATATAATGTAACATGTAATAATTGTCATATTAAACAGATTAAACAATTGGGCAATGTTTGGGAAATATTAAATTTCCGTGATTTCCGCGCGCCTTTGGTATACGCTACTGAGAGCTCTGTGTAGTTGTGTACACCGATAGATTGGTATCGTGTACGCTCGGGCGAAGCGCCGAATTCGGAGCGAGTTTCCGCGTTTTTCAGGAAGAGCGATGTAGCACGGAGAGAGTCTTGTACGACGAACCGACCGGTAAACACGTGCACGAATTCCAAACCTTTGGAGAACACTCATATTCAAAAGACAAATAAATATTGCTTGTTTTTAATTAGAATAAGGAGAGACAAGCCCCCGTTATCCATCCTTGCCTATCGACGCAGTCCACAAGTGAGAACTAGGGGAAAGTTAAAAAAAAAAAATTTTTTTAAATCAGGCAACATTGGATTTTTTGTTAAATAATAACGCTAATGTATTATATCTGTAATATAATAATTAAACATTTTCGATTACTATATTTAGTTGTTGGTCCACTGGGATTCAATTGTGTCATTTTCAATCATAAAACTAAGTGAAAATTATAAAAATAAGTTTAGTATACATTAATTAATATATGCTAGAGACGTATATGTATACGTCTTTAGCATATATATTATAACATATACGTATTTATCATATATTAATTAATGTATATGGAGCATTTCATACAATTAGATTATAGTTTAAAAAATTTTTGACTATTTAGTTATTTTATTGTTAGAGCGAAATAGTTAATAAATTCAATCATCACGGTTCAATTTGATATTTTGAGAACTTAAATTACTGTATATCAATATATCACTTATTTTGAGTACCTACTTAAATTACTGTATATCAGTATCATTTAATATACTGATAGGCAGTAATTTAAGTACTCGAAATAAGTGATTAATTGGACTTACTAGTGATAAATTTTTATAAGGGGTGTATCACAAGTCACGT